TTTGATCAAATAATAATAAAAGATGGAAAATTATTGCATCCTTTTTTTTAAGTAAATTCAATTGGTAATTAGTGATTTTTAATAGGATTTATCGCAATTTCTTTTGATCAAATAATAATAATAAAAGATGTAAAATTATTGTATATATCTTTTTTTTTTTTGGTAAATCTAAATTACAGCGATTAGTGATTTTTTTTTTTCCACTAATTTACCTTGCACGCCATCCTCGTAAACCTGATTGTAGCACTATAACAGCATGTCGTTTCTTTGCAAATTTCCGTTCTTCCAACCATTTACGTATATTTTTTTGTATTATAATAGCAGAACTTTCAAGTAATGCATCGCGACGGCTTTCCAAATGTTCACGTAATGGTTCACGCATAAATACTTGCGTTTTACCTTTAAAAAAAGACAGATAAAGCAAACGAGTAAGAATCAAATTTGATAGATTAAAGGTAATAATAAGTTAAATTTATATTATAATATTATAGGTTTTCGAAAAAAAGTTTTTCTTTAATTGAAATATGGAGGGAAATATGGATCAAAATTTTCGTTCATGCTTCTCCTTTAATGACTTTGTTGCATGATTATCATTTAATTAATGAAATGCTTACCTAATCGATAATGTTGATGAAATTTGTTACCCTGTTGCTCAAGGATATCATTTGATAATTCATAAACCGTTTGGTATCGAGCTACATCGAGTGGAAGCAAACATCGATATCTGAATTACTTGTAATAAGCATTGTGTGAATTAACAAATCCATATAATATTAAGTTTTTAGTATCGATTACAATATTTCTACTTTATTCAAAAACTATACTTTAATCCTTTTTTTGTGGCATGTAATTTTATTTTCTGTTCTTGTCAATTCGGAATTTTAAATAAATAGCAAGAATTTTTCTTTAATACTCTAGAAGTTTGCAACAGAAAAAAAAGGAACATAATAATGTAAAATTACTAAAGCTGAGTAATTTGATAAAACGGAAAAAAATTAAATTTTAATTGAAGTGTTTGCGAACCTTGCGGCAAATTGATCAAATGATTCTCGATATGGAAATCCTAAACGATGATTATTGGTGGTTGCAAGCAACGAAAAAGCTCTTAGCTGCCGTACTACCGTTTGCGGACAAAACTTCAATGTTTCACGTTCTTGATTACTACGCATGCAACGTACAAATTGCACGCCACCTCTATAATGTGCAATCAAACAATATGATTTAGCATCATAAATAATCCATAATCGAAATTCAAAACAAGGAATTAAATCTGTAAATTCAAAGTGTTATTTTATTCTAAATTTTTGGATTAACACGTAGCCACTTCGCAAATAGTTAACAGACGCGGTACTTAACAGGATGCGGTACTTTTATCATAATATTAATACAATATTAGTAAAAAAAAATGATATATGAAATTTTACTTATTCATTTTATCGATAAGTGCTTTTGCTGCTCGATTATATCGTTGAGTAATATAAATCATTCCATCTGATAACTGTTGTTGTTGTGTTGATTTAATATTGTTTGTTGTTAAACATCGAAACATTTGAGCAATAGACTATAAAAATATTTCATTTTATTCAAAATTTATTAAGCATTTAAATTAATTAATTAATTCTTTTTCCTTAAATTTTTAAAACTATGCTCAATAAACGAAGACAGTTTCAAAAATTCAGCACAATTTTTTATTGGTAATTATCTAATGATGATTATTTTCGATATAAATTTATTTGTAAACCAATTTTTTGTAAAAGTGATAAAAATATTTTACCGAATTTTGACTAACAGCAAGTAGTTTTATTGTTTCCCATCTAATTGGTAAGCGATTCTTTTCCACAAATTGTGCGCAATCATACCAAATTTGACCAGCATAATGACGAATAGCAAATTCATATTTATCCGCTGATGTTTTTATGGTGCTCACAGAAGCAACTGTTGTTGTTGTTGTTGTTGTTGTTGTTGCCGCTGCTGCTGCTGCTGTTGTTGTTGTTGTTGTTTTAGAGGTAAATAATTGTCGAGATGATTGCTGATGATTGAGAATACATTGTTGCAAATAACGAGCAGCAGATGCCTAAAGTAGTAAATTTTTTTTTTTCGTAAATCCTACAAAAAAATCACACCGCTATTTTGTTTTTAAATTTTTTTCAATGAGATTTTTGAACATTTTGATCAAATATAATTTAATTAGTTCTGATTATCATTTGTTTGCCAGTTCAATAAAATAGGATTTAACTGGTTTACTATGTTCGATTTAATGAGTCATGCATGCTATATTAGCATTATGCGACTGTTAAATTTTTAGTTCAACACGGATACAATTAGGAAACAAAGTATTAATATTACTAATTATTATGATAATTATCAGATTATAATACTTCAAAACATTTTAAGCTCTGCGAAAGGATAGCTTTTTTCTAGTGAAAAGTTAGATAGCTGAAAAAGAATTAAAAGTACATAGTTAGATTTCATAGTAAATTTCATAGTAGATAGTAAATTTCATGGTAAAGGACATAGTAAATTTTATATTTGTAAATTTCCCAGCAGAAAAAATTGGTTAATAACTTCCAGGAAGAAATTTTCGAATATAATAGCATAAATATCAGAAAACAAAAGAAAAAAAGAATGAATCATTTCTAATAAAGAAACTAAAAAACAGTTGACATGAAAAGAGAAAGACAAATGAAAAAAAAAAAAAAAAAACAAACTTTCGGAAATTTTGATTCATCATCCAACGCTGGAACTAAACCATTAGGACGTTGAAGGAGTAGTTCAATAACTGGCTCATTATTAAACCATTGAATAGACTACAAAAGTAAAAAAGTTTTTTTTTTTTCTTATTACATTTTAAACTGTTCAAATTTATTTTTATAAAATATAATTTTAACAAATATTGTTAAATCTATCATTGTTTGATGTATTAAAATGAATAATGCTAGATATTTTTGCTGCAATATTCTAGCTGTTAAAATACGATAAAAATTTATTTTGCAAATATATTGTTTTTTTTTTTTAAATAAATAAGAAGAATAAGTTGTTTGTTTATTTTTGATGTAACATTAACATTGTTAAATTTTTATTGTTAAATAGGATACATTATGTTAGCTAATTGTTAGCAATTAGAATGTAAAAACTTACTTGCATATCAATTCCTGAAATATTATCCTTTTGATATTCCCATTGTAATTCTCGCAGTACTTTTTGCTGATAATACCATTCCAATCGTTCATTGTACAAATTAATACAAAACTGTTCAAATCCATTTACACTCGCAGAACGCTGCAAATACATCGCTTTTTTTTTAAATGAATAAGAAGAAGAAATTTTTTTTATGCAATTATTCAAATAACAAATTTTTTTTTTCTAAATGAAAAAGTTTTTTGATTAATACTATTAAATTTTTATTTTATGCGAATACATTTTAAAAAAATACACTATGTTAGCCAATTGTTTTATCCAAATCATTTTTTCAATACTGTATGCATTTAAGCCAATTTAATTAATAAAGAGAATGTTTATGCAACATTTGACATTTTTTAAATATCTCAAAGATTAATTAAATAAAATGAATTTCTAGTTTAAATATAAGAACCGTTTAGACAAGCATTTCTAGCTAGTTTAATTATAGTTGATAAAATTACAATAATCGATAAGATTAAAATTACGATAAAATTACCATAATTTATCATTTTCTACAATCATTTTTATTTTAAATCTTTTACAATATGTTACAGATAAATTATTTGTATCTTTTATTTTGAATTATATTTCTGTCAATTTCAATTTTTAATTAATATTACACGATACAGATTTTTTTTTAAAAAGAAGCCGACAAAATATTCATTTTGCAAAAAAAAAAAAATTAAATGCTCCTAATTATTAACAATTTAATTTCCAATCAAGCAAAATGATAGAAATATGCTAAATATCAGAATTCTTAAAAAATGAGAAATGAAAAAAATCATCCAACAAAAAAAAAAAAACAAATGTTTGGTGACTAATAATAATCAATGAAAAGAAATATTAAATTTAATGATGATTTTCAGTTTACCTCAAAACCGTAACAATCAGTAAGTACAATTGTTGCCGTATTATTATTGTTAACAAAATTACATCCATTCATTGTTGCTACATTAATACGTTGTAGAATCCAATCAAATAATTGCTCATACAATAATTGAGCAAGTGAATCTCTGTAATATAATATTTCATATGAAAAAAAAACACATTTTCAAAAAAAAAAAAGTTTTTAAACAAACGATTGTAAAAGAAAGCAATCCAAAACCATTACCTGACATCTAATGCTTGTTCAATGCTTAATGGAACGAATGCAATTTCACCTTCATCATTTATTTTCTGAAATTTTCTAATTTTAATTTTTAATTACCAGCAAATTATATTGCTTCAAAGATTTTTCATATTTATATTTTCCTATGATCGGAATTATCTACGATATGATATTTTTGCAAAAAAACTATCAAATAATTTTATTTCATTGAATAACTTTTGCAAAAAAATTTATTTCATTGAATCTCAATAATCGGGAAATCTTTGTAACCACAATTGCAATAATTATATTTATTGCTAATCTTTCTACGAGAAATAAACTTTTCATAATAATTTTGTCTATGAAATAACAAATTATTCAATCAAAAATTCTCATCACAGTTGATCTATTGCACTTCAATTCATATTTTTAGTAATTACTTCCACATTTTAGCTCTCCTATTTCATTTACAGATTCAAAAAAACTGCATTAGAAGGCTTTTTTTTTTGTAGCATTTAAGGTTATCCAAATTCTATACTTCAACAATTTGATTAATAACATTGGTTAATTATTTAAGTTTTTTTCAAAAAATCATGAAAAATTTTAAAACTCTTACAGTTTATCGGGATTTATAACTATTTATCTATCAATATAGGATTTTTTGAAATCTTTTAATTCAACTAACCACTTGTTTCTGTGTTAGCAACTGATACAGTGATTCCAAATCAACTTCCAGTAAATATGCACACCATTTCAATTCTTGTTCATTACCTATTTCAACACCGGTCACAACAGTAGCATCTCTGGATTCTGCATTCGTTGCATTTACATTATCATTTCTCTGTCAAACATTTTATCATTATTAAATTTTCAAGTTTTTAATCTTTCAAGCTTTTTCAAACAAGATTTGTTAAATTAATTTAATAAATTAAGTAAAAGTTTATTGTTTATTACCTTGGTAAGTACGAAGAATAAATTGCCAATATGTAAAATAGCAGCAAGAATACGTTGGATGAAATCTTGTTGATGTTCACTAATTTCTAATAGCTCTAATGAACTGCATAAATTTTCATATTTTTGACGTAGCACTGTCAAATCCATTG